GCAATATTGGAGGCAACGCTGTCACATGGCTATATTTTAGTACCCTTCCTGACTTGAAACTGACAAAGTTATTTGACATGCAATTTTTCAGGTGCAAAGGATGCTGGGAAGGTTCTCATTATGATTATAACATTGTTTTTAGTCAGCATCATCATCATTATCACTACCATTATCATCGTCGTCGTCATCATCATTATCCTTAATCAATTAATCTTACCGCAGAATTTTACTTGCTTAAATTCCACACCTGCGAGAGCTCCCGCGTCATTACCAATGACGCAGAGAGCCAGGCAAAGCGCGAGAACAAGAAGCTGCTGATTGGTTAACATTACGGTGTTAAAATCCGCAGACTGGGAGCCAAACCTGTCAGAAAAAATCAAAGTGGCTGTGAGCCACTGAACTTGGAAAATAAATTATGAAAGGGTTTAATGAGACATTGCTCATTTAGGAACTACTAGTAATGTGAGGGCAGTCTAAGTTTCGAATAAGCCCATAAGGTCTTTTCCCATTTAGGGGTGTGTTGTGATATTTGTAAAATGAAACAGTTTAACTTTAAGAAACTGTTTGTTACTCAGGCCTGCCCACGCGTTTTACATTACATGTATCTGTACATGTCTTCCTTGTGCTGTAGTCAAAAACGGCAAGATCATTTTGTTCGGAAAAGTGAGGTATAGACTGAACGAAACACTTGAGCCTGCGGTACGTAAATAAATGATTACTTTCGCTTANTAAAAAGAAAACAACACCAAATATAGAAGGTTGTCCTGAAAGCCTCGGAGCCATGTTAGAACATTTTTACATCGAACGTGGCCTATTCTCACTCTTTTCACTTCTATATGTAAATTCTACAATCTCCAGGCTTGAAACTTTTCTTTGGACATATCACAACAGAAATGGACAAATCATTCCTTACGGAAAATACACGTAAGCCTTACCTCAATTTCTTCCAAGTGAGCCCAATTTACGAAGGTCTCAGTATCACTTCCTATTTAGAAATAATCATCTTTCTCATTGCATTCAGTTAATACATTTCAAATGATGGTTCGGAACATACCAGAAATGTTTGACAATCTCTTTGATCAAAGGTAAGAGATGCGAAAGAAAGAGCAAGTGGTGAAAGTTTCGATATGATCGTATCACATTATGTATACTCTGCGGATTGCGTAATTTTGCCAGACCATTTTATGACTAAAATTTTATGACTAAAAGTCTAGAAAAGACCATATATGTTCAGATAGTAAATATTATCGTAATCTTTTTCGCCACTTTAGGGCTTAAAAATAAATTGGGCTAGGATTTGATCGGGAATTGAACAGGATTAGAGCCAATGACCTCTGCAATATCAGTGCACTGCCCTACCGTGTAACCGAGCTATCAAGCCAACTGGGAGATTATAATTATACCTGCAGATGGAATGATACATTAGTGAATATTTTGTTTCCGCAACTGTTTAAGTGGCAGTCCCGCTAAAAGCGGTCCAGACCAAAAATAATTTTCCTTCATTTTTTGTCAGTGAAAAGGCTTTCATTCAAGTTCATTTCCCAGCGATGCAACCGGCAAGTGTTCGTTGTTGTTGTTTTTCAAATTCGGGCATATAG